AATAATTTGTTTTTACAGATAATGCTGAAAACTATTCAAGTGACGTATCCTTTGTCTAAGAAGTGTTTATAATAACATCCGAGTAATAAGGGATGTTCTTTTAGTCTCTACTTCTAAAAAGGTTTAAATGATCATAAAGAGAGCTATATAAAACACAGAGGATAGGCATTATGTATTTTACTTGTTTTTGTCTTTATAGTTGTTGTAAGAGTCTTCCTCCCTTCCCCCCACCCTGGCATTACACTGAACCAGCCCAAGTCTGTAAGACAGCATTATTTCCAATTGTGCTGATTCAGCACAGAAGGAAACTTGAGACCAACAAGGGGGAATGTAAATGAATGTGGAAGCCGCTCCTTTGCAACTTAAAGTAATTCCTCCAGAACTGAAGTTCTGAGAGAGGGGTATGAGTCTTCCAGCAGCTGCAGAGCTCTGAAATCAGGCTTTAAAGCATATTTAAGACACCAGGGATTAGTAAATTTCAGGTTTTTCACACCTGTTTCTGTAGGACCCCCAGCTAGAATATTTTGCTTTTTTTTTTTTTTACCTGTCTCCTGTTTAATTGATGCTGTAGACAAGCATTTTCTGCCTGCAGTTCTTGTATTTTACTCTGTGCACGCTCTCGATCTGCTCTTTCAGATGTAAAATCATCCTTGTAAACGAGGACCTGGAAGTGAATGTTCATTTTACTATTTTAGTAACTGACTCAAGACTAGCAAGTTAGCACAAGTTATGGTTGAACTACAGACCCACCTCTCTCTAATACTGAAATAAATGCTTTACAAGACCCGCTCAAAGTACAAATATTATTTTCTATGCCAGACCTGTATTTAGCAGTACTAGAAATACAGAATTAAAAAAAAAAAAAAAATGCTGATATTCTGTGTTGGAGAAGAGTAAAGCCTCCACCAACTTCCTTAAATAAATACTACATTTAATTCTAATGTCTATATCCCTTTGTGTCTATATGCCAACCACGTGTCATGAGGGGGGAGGGGGGGGGGGGAATAAATAAAAAAAGTAATAAGAAAAAAAAAAAAATCAAGAAATGAAAAGAAAAAAGGAAAAAAACAACAAAATACAACACCCCTCTCCCTCCCCCCCATTTAGGGGAGAAAAATCATCATAAAAAAAGTGCAGCAAGTTGGTATTCGATATTCCATTTGTCTGAGAAACGCTGGAAAGTTACTAGATGGATCAAACCTGAACAAAGATAAAGAGTTAATAACCTGCTGCTCCAGCATCTGTATGCGTTCACTATCTCCAGCTCTTGCCTTCTGCACATCCTCTAACTCTCCCTTTGCTTTAATGCACTCATTCATTTTATCTTCCAATAACTTGTTTAACCGAACAATCTCTTTTTGCATCAAATCTGAATTTGTTTGCAAGGATGTTATGCCAAGTTGTTGCTCTGGTTGTGACTTCAGTTCTTTCAACTGCAGGTGAAGTCGCTTCACATACTCATCTCTACTGGCATCATACTTCTGCCATTTTGCATTCAAGTCTTCTACCTGTGGAAAAACCAAGAGACAGGATGACGTTATGTATTTTAAAATGTTGTAAGCAAAAGCATTTCAATTTGAATACAGGTACACGAACAATTACTGCAAAGAAGGCTATGACTTTACAGCACATCAGCTACTCTAGTTAGTTGCCCATGCGTGCTCTTACCCTGTGGTACATATAAAATTGTTTGCCCAAAATGAAATTGAGCTAAGTTACCTTGTATGCATCACAGGGTAAGGAACTGAACCCCAAAGTTACCTCAGAGTGGCTGACGTACTACATGTTCACAAGCTAGCTTTTCTCCTGGTAATTAGTTTGTCTTGATGGGGTACTTTAGATGTGTAGTGAGGATTATTTTCTATAAGATAGGGGTTTGCAAAGCGTGGGCCATGACAGTGGTTAAGGGTCCCCAGACAGCACACAGATCACACCAGGTCCTGTGCTCAAAGCAGGTCTGCTAGGTGGCAAACCCCTCGGCTATAGCAAAACTTCTGCTGGCCCTTGAGAAAACAGGCACCAAACAAGGGTTGGGCAAATGTTGGGGAAACCTCCTCCCCAGATAGGTTTCCCCTCCATACCTAGAAAACATCCCCCTGATGCACACTATCAGGTGGGAGGTTGGGATGGGTGGGCTGCCTGGAAACCACTGCTGCGAGTCAAGGAATCAGTACATGTTAAAAGATTTCAGAGCCCACTCAGGCACTGTATGATAAAGTGGCATTATGGTTAAAATCCAGTAGTATTTGGATAGTAGGAGCTTATTATAGCTTAGATTAAAAAAAAAAAAAAAATTAAAAAAAAAAAATCAAATCTCAAAAAACTGTACCAAACGAAGTACTCACATGAACCACTTTTTGTTTTAACATCCTGTTCTCCTCTTGTAGTTTGCAGATAATTGTTTGGAGTGAAGGTTCTTTTTCTGACAGCTACAATTTTCAGACAAAGTAAGTGTTACTTTAAGCAGAAACCCAGAAAGTTACATTATTCACAAATTCGTTAAATCATCAACCCCCTCCATTTTGCTCCTCTAAGCTATTCCCCCATGTCCTGCTTGCTTTTAAAAGCTATTGGGGTGGGGGGGGGGGGGGGAGGGAAGCTTTTTACTCCATGGGATTAAGCCATACAATGAAACACGAATGATAGATCGAGAATTTAAGAGTCAAAATCTAGTTAATGAAAAGCATAGCAGAAAACAAGTGATATCAGATTTTCACTACACCAGTATTGCTTTTAAAGAAATCTAATACAGTTAATATACAAAAAAAACTTGATGGGCCAAGTTCTTGTAATTAGTCTCAGTGAGACCAAACTACTGTACACTTCAAGGGGACCAGAATGCTAAGCCAAGGAACAGTTGCTACATAATCAGGACTTGCAAACAGCTCCCCTATCCACCTCAAAAAAAGCCCAGTCACAAACATTTCTTTATTTTGGATTTGCCATGTTGTTTCAAGTAAATGCCCACAAAAAAATAAAATTTCTCCATAAATTATTTTAATTTTTCAACCTTTGATTCAGTTATACGTTTTTGGATTTTTTTTTTAAATTGCTACGTCTGTTTAAAAAAAACCCACAGCACATGAGTAATATAGAGCATTTTTGTAGAAAATTCCCTAGAATCATCTAGTAATTGCATCTGAATTTCTCTTCTGCAACAGGGAAGTCCCCACTGTATAAGGTATGCTAGATGAGAGACAGGAAACTTAACAGACTGATATCAGCTACACACAAAACAATCACAAGGCTACAAGTTTCAAGTCCCATTAAACAATCTATTTGTCCTTCCACTCAAGCCAACATTACCTATTTAATACAAATAGTCACACAAAGTCTCTTTGCAAAGGCTTCTATAATATTTAGAAAACCTGAAATATGCATAGCAATCACATGGCCTGAAACATGGCTGTCTACATATAGAACACAGCAGCTCTTATACAATACCACTAAACAGTATATTAGTGTCTGAAAAATAGTTCCTTCATCTTTAAACTTCAGAAAGAATCTGGATGGATTGGTACTTTAAGCAGTGTTTGGCCACTGCACCATATTTAACCACTCCTACTTTTGTAAAGGTGATACAACACACAGATATTTGTGTGTTGATATTTGTCTTGAGAGCAACTCATTGTTTCTGGAATAAATTCAGTGACATTCAAATATATGCTATTATTTTAGACCAGCATTTTTTGATTCTCCTTAGTGTACTGTTTGTTACTATTTCACTTAATTATGTGTTGCAGGGGAGTTGTTTTCCCTTCTTTCAGAAAGAGAACCCCATAGGACATCTGACAGGTCAAGGAGCTATGCCTATACATTCAAAGTTTCCAGGCCAGTAACTTAGTTCTTCCCCATAAAAATAGTCCCTCTCCAAAAGGGAAGGCGAGGCCAAAATTGTACATGTATGCAAGCTGAACCTGAAACAATGGCAAAGTGGCTCAAAATTTACATTTTCAATTTGTTTTTGTTGTAAAATGGTGATTAAGGTATTTTTGTTGTCCAAAGCTCTCATTTAGTGAGTCATCCAAAAGATGTCACCTCCAAAAACATGGAACCCTCTAGCACTATATTCTAGGATCCATTCACTTGTTTAAGCACATGCAAATATGCATGATTTAGGAAAAGATGCTAACTGTGGCCTAGCTATTAAAGATAAAAGGATAAAGACATTGAATGTTAAGACAGAAAAATGAGTAAGAACAGTTTTTACCCTTCAGTTCTGAAAGCCAATAGTTCAAGTTCTATAGATTAAGTGTACCTGACTGGATCTTTCAATAGGAATCAGTTCCTTGGAATGCCTTCTCTCTTTTTTCTGTGTGTCCTCTAGACATTTTGCCAGGTGTTGACACATTTCTGCTGTTGACGCCAATTTACGCTGAAGTTGGTGAGTTTCATCAGTTAGAGAACGGCACAGTACTTCACTAGTGGCCTGGACTTTTTCTCTTTCTGCCAAGCTTCTCTTGAGTCTTAAGATTTCTCTCTCCCTTTCATGCGGAGGCTGGCTTACAATCTGCTGCATCTCTCTCTCTTTTTCTTCCAGTTGCTGTTTCAGCTGCTGCACTTCCTAATTAAGCAGAAAGAAGTCAGTGTATTTATCAGAGACCTTAAAAAAAACCCAAACCAACCCCAAAACCCCAATCCACAACTATTTAAATTTTAAAATCGTCTATTCAGGAATGTCAGCCATAGTAATATAAATGGTTAAACACCATTTATATAAAAAACCTTTTCCATAAAGTTTTTGAACATGCAGTGGTTCATTGACCAAGTCCAACTCCTTTTTCCAGTTTCCTCCTTCATTTTGGTATGCATATGCTTAGACATACTCTAGACCAGAAAGTGACTGGTATGCAGAAATGGATGTACCCCTAAAACTTAACTGCAAACTGTTTCCAACCTCTTACTTATGGACACACATTAGGTTTTGCATTTGTATTCCATTTTCTTAAAACACACTGTAGTTTGTCAGTAAGTCAGGACAACTGATTCTTAGTATTTTGAACTGACTAGTAATGACCATTTTCTAAACATATTTGGGTTTTTGGTAAGACGCATCAGAATTAGTATTAATGGTGTTCACTATCTTTATATGAATAACTTGGGTCACAAACACTGAAATAATCTGTTTTAAGGCAATAGCACCAGCCTATGGTAATCTGCCCACATTTAAGATGCAATAAAAGATCCACCTCTGGCTCTGGGAAGAATATAAAATAACAAAAGTCTGGATTGCTGAGGATCACTGGGAGAACCATCACACACCACCTCCCCAATGGAAAATGTACCACATCCAGCAACACTCAAGTATTATGTAAGCAACAAATACAGATTATTAAGGAAACTTGGAAGGGCATGAAATACAGAGTAAAGAGGAATGACAACAGGTAAGGTAAGGTAACAAGACCAATTAAGAGAGAAACTGTCTATTCCCATTACCCAAATTACAAGGTGGTCTAAGGGAATGCATCAAACTAGGGATTTTAAACCTCTCCTCATAGTACTGAGGAAGCACTGTGCCTAACCCTGGGGTACAGATCCACTTATTTACAGGCAGCAACACTGCCACATTTCTTAGAAGTAAAATGAAACAGAACACTACAAGCTTGAAGGAGAATTGGCAGTAAAGACAAGTGGACAGAATCAAACCCCCAACATCATGCAAGCATGGCCTTTCCTAGATGAGCCATAGTTGAGCAGACACTGTGTGAAGCTTCTCATGCCAACAAGGGATTCAGTGAACTGTAAGTTTTCATCTCCTTTGACATATGGGGTCCCTCTGCATTAGCTCTGAAGAGGCAGGGATTTGTCAGCAGCATGAGGATCATCAGCCACTCTTCTGGCATCATCCTGTATAAAAGTGTTAAGGAGGCTTGGCATACATCAATGCTGACTAAATCAAAGTCACCTAAACATCCCTTCTTCCTGTACACTCAGAGGCTGAAGGACAGCAGCTGTGAAGGAAGCCTGTGGAGCACAGCTCCTCCAGAATCAGCAAGTGGATGTACCCTTGGGGTGGGAAAAGGAAACAGAGGTATACCAATTCCAGATGGTTCTTCAGGAACTCAAATCTTAACATTGTGGAAGAGTGCAACGAAGACACAAAAGTAGATATTCTTGTTTCTAAGCTTCATCATTATGAATCTTTGTAGAAGCAGTATCTTGGCTTGGGAACAGTATTCTAGTATCACCATGTACATTCGCTTTAAACGAATGCAATCATTAGAATATAGAATCTGCTAGGAAACAGGGCCTGTGATCACTTGAAAGAAAAGGGGATACTGCAAATGGAATTCATAAATCCAAAAAGTCCATTTTAAGGTCAAAAGGTTCTCGAGAGATGGGGGATTTTTTTGTGCTAAGTTTACACTTAATAGGCAGTTTGAGGCATGACTTCAACTCAAATAACAGTCGAGCAAGAGTGCCAGAGGGATCATTTGCAAGTTTCAAAACCTGAACTCATCCGTGGTGCATTTGAAAGTCTGTGGTGCTTGGGAAATGTTCTTGTACAAGCATTAGGTCAAGAGACTGTGTTTCGTTTTGCAGCATTTTCTGATTTGGAAATTCCTTTGTGCAGCTTCAGACAGGAAAAGGGACTTTTAAAAATGTTCCCTTGAGAATATTTGAGCATATCAGTAATCAGAGCTGATCGGGCAAGGGTCTAAAAAGTCCTCGTTTGTCCAGGCAGCTGGAAACGAAGCCATTTCACTCAGGAAGGAGGAAAATGCAAACACCCGCTGTTTCAACCTAAAGCAACCTGCTACAGCTAAGATACAATCCTGGTGTACAAGGGTGTCGGGGAAAGAAAAATTAATAGGAAAGCCATCTAAAAGACGAGGAAGAACTCAGATATCCTGCTGATCATGCTGAAATACTTCAGTAGAAAAGCACTGGCCCCAAGGACCTGCACGTTGCTCCCACTGCAATGTCTCATCTCTCTCGATCCTTACACGTATGCCTTTCCCTCCGCCTGTGCCAAAGTCCCAGGTACAGCGGACTGTGCTGCACTCGCTACTCTCAAGCTGGCTCGACTGTGGCCAGCGCTGCCCTACCCACGATGCTGCCTGGCAACTGCCCCTTTCCTACAAGGCTGAAGTGCGGGGGTGCCCCTGAGGGACACCTGGGAGGAGGCGCGTCCACTCCATGGCAGGTGTGTGCCTTGGCCCCGGCCTTACCTGGCTCTGTGCCTCCGCCTCCTGCGCCGCAGCCCGGTCGCGCTCCCGCAGCTGCTGCTTCACTTGCGACAGCTGCTCCACCAGGCTGTCCACCAGCGACCGCGCCGGCGCCGCCGCCGCCGCCTCCCCCGCCCGCCCGGCCCGCAGCTCCC